ATTGTGTGAGCTGATTCCCATGAAAATAACTCCCTTCCCTGCAGAGAGAGCGGCCTGGCACTGTAGCTTCCCAGGAAGTCTATCAAAACTGCTTTGCCTTGGTTTGCGTACCTTCACTATGTGCAACGTTGCTATTAAACTAGTGGTAGACTTCAGTACAGGCTTGCACACTGACAGATTTGAAGCAACAAGCTCTGTAAAGCCATTTTTAGTGTTTTTACCCATGCATTTGTATGGCCACATGGAGCCTCCTCCTGAAATGTTTGCATCTGTGGAGCAGCCTTCCCATTCTGCAGATGACAGGCTGGGAGCATGTTTCCTTCTTGATGCCATGTGGAAAATCAGTGTCATATAGTTACGTGTCACCAAACTAGTGAATGCCATGGCTGCGTCCAGGATTGGGAAGTATCATTGTGGGAGACTGGCTTCAGTGGAATTATCTGATGTTCTGGTTAGCTGATTCATTACTGGCTTTCTCAAAAGCCCATAATGTCCCCTGGTCGTTTTCTTCCATAATTAACCTGTTTTTCTTGGTCCTTAAATAATGAAAACAGTTTCTTCTGCTTAGAAAAGATGCACAGACTGTTATGCTCTGTGGGCTCCTATCAGGATTTGTTCCCTTGGATTGTGCTTGTGTCTTAGTAAGAGTCCGGAATGCTTGGGGATTCAGGGATTGTGTTTATTCATTTTCAGAAAAAGATTTTGGTCCCTTCGCTGACAGTTTGTCTTCAGCTTGCCGCCTTTTGAAATCATCTGCAAGTTCTGCGCTGACAATCCGTCAATCTGTCATACGAGACAAGGAATGAGTGACGTTACTTGTTTCAACATATCATAACTGTTATGCTTGCTCCCTCAAGCCCTGTAAAGTCTTGTTATGTCAGGGTGTGTGGGAGAGGGTTGTATATATTTTCGTTGTTGGGGGATCTCCTTTTGGGTCCTTTATCTTTTACATCTCAGGCCTTGGAGGTATTTTGGTTCTTCCCAAAATGTGCTGTTTTGAAGAAATGCCACTTGTGCTCAGCTGGCTAAAGCCTTTGCTGCTGAAGCAATGGGATTTGTCTGATGCAGCTAAGCAAGCTTCTTGGGGCAGAGACTGTACATGCGAGAGGCCTGAATGCAGGCTGGAAGCTGTTGGAATACAGATGGTAGAATAGTGGGCAGGATGAATGCCATACAGAAGACTTAGACAGAAGTTATGGGCTTGATACAGGAATTACTAATTCAGTTTTTTCAGCCAATGTTTTGCAGAAGGTTAAACTGTAATTACAAAGCCTTTCACCTTCCCTCTCTCCCCCCTGCCTCTCTCTCACACACACCCAAAATCATCTCTTCCCTTTACCTTTTTCATTCTTCTTTCTCCTTAGTCCGCAGAAAGTACATTCCTGCAGAATTCCTGGCATAAAGATGGAGACTGATAATACTGGCGTGTAATACTGAAGTAGGAGCTGAAGCTACAGCTGTTTCATAGTTTCCAGCACAGGGCTTTTGCAGTGTGGCTGATGGAAGATTCCTGGGTGAAGCCTTGCAAGGGCAACGTGTCCTCTTGCTACACCAAAGTCTAGTTGTGTGCCTGAGTGCCCAGTATGGAGAAGGCAGCAGTTATAGAGGCTGAGCACTTGTGTAGCGAGTCCAGAACTAGGAACCAGGATTCCGAGCTTCGCTTCTTAGCTCAGTAACCAATTCATTGCGGAGCCTTTTGCAAATCATATAGGCCTAATCCTGCACATATAGCAGCCCCCAGAAAGTCCTTTCAGTTTTTCATTGGGGACATAGGATCAGCTTCTTAACTGCTGTTTTTCTTTCACTCAGTAGGACTGGGGGAATGAAAATCAACATCTTTATGCAGAAAGTGTGATAATTTTTTGAAGTTTGTGAAGCAGTAATGTGGGCATCACTGCGTGACATGTGTGACTTGGCATCCATAAAGGGGATTGATTGATTGCTGTTATCAGTTGGGTCTTTGGAGCATGGGATTTTTGGCCTCTCTCATCAGAATACAATTTTACATGATTATAGAGGATAATGCTGGAAATGCCTCTGCACTGGGCTTGCCACATGTCCAGATGGCAAGGTCAATGTAGCTTGGACCTTGCTCAATTGCTCTGTATGCCAGGATAAGTGCTGCTGCTTCTTTCTCTCTTTCTGCTACTGGCTCAGCTAGAAATTGAGGAGTTCTGTGGCTGTCAGTAAATTCAGAGAGTTGGAGATTAATACCTACAGCGAACTCTGCTTTTTTTGGCCTTAAATTAATTTCCCACCCTTTTGCAAAGGTGAATGGGAATGCTTGTTTTTGTATGGTACTTTTGCTTTAAGATAATCTGAGCTGCAATCTTAAAATGAAATGGAGTTAAGAACATTCTGAGCTAGGAGTTAATTTCTAGAGTATCTTGTAAGGTAAAAGGGTACAACAAAAAGGATACTATAATGTGCAAAACCCTTACCTTTACATTTGGCTGTGCTGTATTTTGTAGCATGTGCAGTTCTGGTATCTGCCGAGTGCAGCATCTTGCTCTGCTGGTTTGTGTGAGGCTTTATTTTCCTGGTACAGGGACAGAGGTAGATTAATCTACAGACCTGTCGGCAAAAATCTGTTAGCAGGCTTTTCAGTGGGGGATCAGCCTAAAAAAAACACAGTTTGATTTTTTTTATGTCAGTTGAGTTTTTGATAACTGTTAGAGAAAGTATGGTCTCTTTGTAAACTTAGTTCTGAAAACAGAGCGCCTGGTAGTGGACTTTCTTGTTTCTTTTAGGAAATGTTTCTTAGTGCAGTGACACTTCATGCTCTTGCCTGTGAAGGGGCAGGTCTGTCCTAGTGCTTACATATATTTGACTAACAGGGCTTTAAAGTGCGCAGGCCTTGCTGAATAAATTATTTAGGTAAAGTAAGAGGCAGAGGAGCAGAATTATTACCTCCCATGCCCCTCATGCTGGGGCAGCATCCTCCCTTCCTCTCCCCCCAGTGAATGAAAATACTGTCCTGACTTGTACAGCAAGCCATTTCTGGGAGCCAGGGGGGCAATGGTACAAAAAGCACTGGTAGCCCATAGTCAGAAGCTTGAAGATGACTTTTGGTTTGTTGGGAGCTACATGCCTGTACCTCTAAATACACATATAAATCTGTTGGTGTCTCTCCAGCTTTACAGTTTATCTAATGGTCTCTGACTGCATATGAGGCAATGGACTGGAGCTGCCACCAATGCTGGTGACTCGTGGTCCTCATGGTGTGTCCCTGGGTGGAGCTCCTGCTAGTGCCCATGGCCCACCCAAATAATACTAATGTTATATATTTAATATATATTAATAATGTTATATAAAAAATACTGCTCCTGGCAGTCACCTTGGTTTGGAGCCGTTGTGCGGGCAGCAGGCTTCTGTTCTTTAATAAGGTTCCCCTTATTTTGTTCTAATGCTTTTCCAAATGTATTTTCTCATCCTCAAGGTATAGGAGTCTTTTGCTTTCCTGTCCTGCTCTCTCTCCATCTGTCAATTGGTAGGTCCCTCCTGCTTTGAAGGGGAAGGCTCTGGGAGCCTGTTTGCTGCTGTTCTGCCTGAGGGCACCAGTAGCTCCTGTGGGTAAAGCGTGGGACATTTTGGGGTAAGTTGGCTGGCTTGCTTGTCTCAAGAGGACTTGGACGTGGAGGTGAGCTTCCAGTTTTCTTCCCCCCTCCTTTGTAGAGAGGGTGGCAGCCCTGAGTGCTTCTCACCCCAGAAAAGCAGGAGGGCTTGTCCCCAACAAAATGGGCATGAGAAAAAGGGCTAGGAAAAAAGATTTTGCCCTGCTTCTCCAAGTACTGCACTAGACAAGCACCTTAAGATGCACTCAAATGTAGCCCAGCGTTGACTAAGTTGTGCACTTGATGCTTTTAGTATTTTGACTAAAGCCTGCCCAAAAACGAACGGAGGCTCCTGGGTTCCTTTGTACACTGATAATTTTTTTCCATTATTTTTGCTGTGTTTTCAGCCATAAAGCAGTATTTTATTTTTTTTATGTTCATTTCCTTTTGCTGACACTAGAGCATCATATGATTTAGGGCTTTGTTTTCAGGCTTGATATGAAGGCTAATTACTTCCTTCTTGCATCCTCTCAGTAAGAAAACATGGGACTTAATCTTTCACAAAAGAGAAAAGTGAGGAAAAATTTTTAAGTGCATGGAAGTCTTTGGTAAGACCCTGGATTTGAATTTATTTTTCGCAGCGTAATGACAACAAAACATTAGGAGATAAGGTCCAAACTCCATAGCTTTATCTGTGTGGGGACAGTTTTCTGTTCAGTTTGTCCTCTCTGGGTCTAATTATGCAGTTACAATTCAGCCTGTGGCTGAGTACTTTTAGTAATTAGGGGTACACTGTGGATATTTATTGTTTATATAAAAGTCAGGATGTATTTGTCTTGTTTCAGCCCTGTGACTTGCTTTGATTATCCATAGTCTTCTAGGTAATTAAGCTGTATATTTTCTCCCTGTCTCCTTCGTATTTTCTCTTGCCTTAATTTGACAAGAGAGGGAGAAACTACAGCAGGAAACTTGGGAGCATTAGTAAATTGTGTGAGAAAGTGTGTGACTGTTTTACAGAGATGCCAACGTAAGGGCAACCTGCTGTCTGGGCAGTTTGGGAAGAAAAAGGTTATTGCTTCCTCATCAAGTGTTACTTTAATACAACCAAGGGAACATCAACTCTTGGGGATCGCTCGTGTAACACAGGACTGACAAAGCTGACAGGAATCATATTTCACTTCTGATCAAAGTAGTTGTTGTTAAACTTTCATCTAAAATTTCTGTTAATGGACTAGCCAGCAATGACTGAAGGCACGCGTTAGAAAATGCAGTAGTCCACAGTGCGGAGTAAATACCAGGTAGTTTGGGGATGTCTCTCTGAAAGCAATGGCCTTAATAGGAAGGTGTGCTTTTATAAAAACTTGGTTTATATTAGATGGGTTGTTTTTTCTGCAGGGTCAGCATGCATGGTTCCCAATATCCCTGGTTCATCGGGCTGCCTTAGGGCATACCTAACTTAAAGCGCATGAGTCACTCCATTTAAAATTTATTAGCTAGGTATGCGATTAAGTAACTTGATAAACTGGGAATGCGAGTTGTAAGTAGGGATTGGGGGGCTGTTCCCCAACTCTCTTGTCTGGCCATAACCCCTTCTGTGGTAGTGTAATTGCAAGATGTGTTTGCTTCCAAGATTTACTAACAAACTTTTTCGAAGTTTGGCAGAAGAAAAGTCAAGTGATTCTTTTGAAGACAGGCTTGTGGGAGTCAAAGGTGATAAAACCAGAAAACCTCTTTTAAAAGCAACTCAGTTCTGTAGAGTGTCATTAAGAATAACTTTTTGTCCATGGCTGTCTGAACCATTTTAAGCATTTGATATACAGAGATTACAATTCCTTAAATGCTTTACAGAGATACTAACTTTCTGTAAGTGCTTATGATATTCCTCAAGACTTTTTCAACAAGATACATAAAGGAAATATTAAAAAATAATAAAATCAGTAATACTGTCTGCCTGCAAGCTTTGTAGCAAGGGAGTTTTTACAACCTGCTCATGCCTGTGGCTATTTTCAGTGTTGGATTCTAGAGTTTGAAAAAATGCAAGGTAGATGGTTTTAAACATTTTCGCTCAGATCAACTATACATATGTCATCAAAACAATAGAATTAATTCTAAAATCTTGACTTTTTTTTAATAAAAACAGAGCTATTCTTATTTATGTTCTAGTCTGATCCTCTTTGGTTACGCATGCATCATGTTTACCTTTCTTTTTCTGTTCAAGTGCCTAAAATACATATCCTTGAGCTTCATATGATTCGTTTTTATAACCTGGATTTTTAAGAAAAGCTCATATCACGAGATCAGTGACAGTAAAACAGATCAGCAATGCTGAATTTTATTCCAAGTGGAATCCCAAATAGTGTCATATATGCTTGACAGTTGAAAGTTGGAAAGCTAAAGAAAAGATACAGAAATTACTTTTTTTTTTTAAAGCTTGATAAGCGTCTAACTGTATCTTCAGCTGAAGAATAGGTTCAGATCTGACAAAGTGATTGAGCCTGTTTTGAGCCTGTATAGGGCTTCTCAGATGACTCTCAGCCAAGGTTTTGGGTTTGGGTTGTACTTCTGAAGAGCAAGTCTGTACACATATTCCCAGTAAAGGGCAGCTTTGTTCAACATTGCCTCTTGGCACAGTTCTAACAGCTGATACTGACTTCACAAATATAATTGTATAGCGTCAATTGTGTTGGAGACATTTAAATGTAGACTTGTGCTTCGGGATCTGGATGGGAAACTCTTCTGGTTTAATGTTTAGCCATCTTTTGCCATCCGGTGAACATTCAGGTTGTAAAAGCTGGTTTGTTCTTTTAAGCAGAAGAAGGGTGGAATAAGTAGAAAAAAACAGCAGAGCACAACGTGGACAAGTGCTGATGGCATCTGTTCGAACAGGCAGAGACTTGCCAGAGGACAAATGGAAAGAATGTGATGTAGTGGGCTTGTTGGAGTTGCTTCTCCAGGTTGCTACGGTAAAGGATCTTTTTTTGATTATTGCTGTGTGGAATATGAGCATAAAAGATGTGCAGAAAGCTGACCCTGCTGGCTGGGCTCTTCTGGCTTCTGCTTGGTCGCGTCTAGCCTGGGTATGCAAGGTGAGTGCTGCACAGTAGCCAGGCAGAATCGGAGAGAACACTACTCAGAGACCTCTCATAGCTGGCCAGCTATTTTAGGAGTGGTGTTACCACAAACTCTGAATAGAAATAGCTTGTCAAAGGACCAGCAGCATTTCATTAAGAGTGGTTAAGCCACAGAACACCTGCATGAGGTAGGTGTGGGCTGGACATTCCATTTTCAGCATCGACATACCCAGATATCCAAAAACCCCAGGAGGCGGGGCGCCAAGAAATAGGAAGACTGGCTTTAAAAGGTGAGTTTTATTTAAAAGTATTCAATGTGTTTGTTTCTCTGATTAGTATCCAGGCTTTCAGTTTAGATTTGTCTACAAACAAGCCTGAATCTATTTATTTATTTTTATGTTTGGTCATACATAATCACATTATTCAAGGTGGAGATTTGGCGAAAAGATACCTGCTTTCTTAACCACGTTGCAATGAATGCAACTGCCCAGTATTATGCAGGAGACTAAAAGAGTGGAGTGGTTTGCTCCAAAGCTGCAGTACCTCAGCAGTTCCCAGCCTCTCTAGGTTTATGGTGATCATTCATCTGAATGTGATCCCATGCCTTTGCAGAAGAAAGTTCTCCGTTGTCTCAAGCTGCATCCCACCCTCTTCCCCACTGCCCAGAAGACCTTGGTGTAAACTCTGGGTGTGCATATGTTTCTAAAGAAAACTGATATGGAGGCTTTGGATACCAGAGAAGGGTTGATTAATTGACTTTGAGATAGGCATAATGAACATGTGGCTCTCATGTGATAGAGGTTTAAACTGAATACTCATGGCTGTATAAATGATAGTGCTCGGAAGACTTATGTGACGTCGGAACATGAAGAGTTTTTATTTCTTGTCTCAAGCCAAGTGTTGACAAAGCCTGGAATTTCCTGCATGGGAGGCTGCAGGGATGTGACTTCTTGGTATGTGATCAATGTGTTGAGCAAAAATTAGATTCAGTAACAAAGGGCATCTATTGGAAACTCTTCCTTGGACGAACAGTGCCAGACCCTGGTTGATGAGCAGAACGAACTAAAACAAAGAAGTAAATGAAGGAGAAAGTAGGTTCCTTTTTCCTCTTTTGCCTTTGAAGTAGCCATCCTTGCAAGTTTTGAGACTGTGCAGTTGAAGGATAATAACTGCTCCCATTGTATTGGCTGGTGCTTGAATGGATAAATGACTGCACACCTTTGGATTACGAAAGATCAACAGTGCTCTCAGCAAGTAACTTCCATGAAATCCCTGTTTGAAGAGCTCCCAGGCTGAGCCTTGCAGATAAACTTTAAGCGCGGTGGACAGAGCTGCCCAGTGCTCAGCTTCTGTAAGTGCCACGTGCTGGGCTGGCTCCTCTGTGCTTTTGGCCAGCACCAGGATCTTGGCCAGCCAGTGGGCATGTGCATGCGTGATACTTGCAGTTTTTTTTTCAGGGGGCCTTTGGAGCTGCTGAGGAACCTTCTCCCTTCTGTAACACTTACTTTCTTCTTCCTGACCCTGATCTTCACATTTCCTTCTTCCAGGAGGTTTCATACTGCAGTCACAGGAGGCTTGTTGTGCCTCAGCATAGGGAGAGACATAATTTGCATCTCTTTGTAGCAGAGTGACTGATCTTTTCACCATGCCTTCCTCCTCCAAGCTGCGGTGCCGCTGTTACAGCGCTACGAAGCTTGTGTTCACTCAGTGTTTGCCAGGGGATGTATGAGGAAATAGTGAACGGGGAAAAAATAGAACCTAAGAGCTGCTGGAGTCACAGTGGTACTGAGATAAAATAAGCCATGTTATCTAACTTAATACTTTGGGGTGGGAGGGGCAGAATGTGGGCCATCGTTGTGTGCCGGTAGTGTTTGATCATTCATGAGGCTTTACTTCATGGCCAAGTATTACTTGAACAGACCCCCTGTGGCCAGCTAAAGCACAGAGCGTATCTCAGCGTGAAGGCAGCTGATGGATGGCTGCGCGGCCAGGGCAGGCAGGATGGTTGGTTGATGAAGGCATTTTGTTTTGCAGTTGTTTTCCTTGTGACAGGCATTTATTTTAAAGTCACACTCAATCCTTCTGGCAGCTTCTGTGTCACATCTGAGACTTGTTGACTGGCCAGTGCATAGGACCTGAATCTTCTCCCTTGGGCTTGTTTGGTTCCTGTTACAGGTGGGAAGCTCAAGACCCTGACCCAGTACGACTATAGGTCCCATGTTTTCCACGTGAGATGCCTAGCTGAAACACAGTTTGGGTATCAGAATGGCTCCCTGTCACAATTTCACACCCTGCAGGAGAGATTTAAGATGCATTGGAATTTTTATTATGTTATTTGTGAGCATATAAGCCAAATATTTCTTCTTTCCCACATCCTGCACTAAACAAACTTCTTGTTGGTCTGTCTAAGGCAGCTTTGTGGTGATGCCAGGGACTGAAAGTCCTTGTTTTCTGACATCATATATTAAAAAAATTCTGCATAGGTACAGAGAACAGCTCTCTTCTCTCAAAAATGGACTGTTGTGTATGTGCCCTCTTAGCAGTCAAACCCTATGCAATGAAGCAGTGGCCCTGTAGCAAAGAACTGGGCTATTTACTGAATTGTTACAGTGTTTAATCAGCTTTCTATTTTGATGAGTATCTCATTGACTTGTAAGATATCTTCTTTCAAGACACTTGCACTTGTGTTTTTTTGTTGTACTGCTCTCAAATGTGGTAAGGAACTTCACAGACCTGCATTGGGAGAGATGGTCCCAGCCCTAAGGTGCTTACACAGATCACCGAGACCTGTCTTAGCATGCCATTTTTGACGAGGAGATAAATGTAATTCGGAAAGGCAATTTCCAAGAAAGTCTCATTTCCCAGAAAGTGTATTTGGAATATTTTTATAACATGGGCAGATTTTGAGGAAAATTTGTTATTCCTCAAGCTTTTTCTGAGTTTTCACTTGTTAGCTTATGCAAACAGGCCAGTTCAGACAGAGGAATAAAATCACCATTGCCCTTTACTTTGCTGACCTGAGCTACAAAAGGAGCTTAAAGAGCATTTTCACGTGCAATAATTTTCTTGATGTTCATGTCTCAAGTAAGCTAAGCCCTCAGTTCCTGACACAGGCACTTTTGACTTCCTGGGCTTGTTTGAAAGGCTCCACTTTGGGCCCAGGCACCACTGTGGGTGCAGGCGGGTACATGCACCCAGTGAGTCAGGGCAGCGGAGCCATGTTCTGCTCTTCGGTAGCTTCCCAGTCTGCTCCTCCGGCAGCACAAGTTTGCAGTTGGAAAAAACTGCAGATAAACAGCTAGCAGTGGTTAAATCCAGCAAAACTGCAGGATAGACACTGCCAAGTGAGCTTAAACAGAGCCTAACTTCTGTTTTGTTCTTGCTGCTAAAGCAATACAGACAGTTTCCTACCAAAGCCCTTGCCAGGGCATACTGCATACATAGATGCATCAAGCAAATCCCCTAAGTTTTAGGTGTTGTCAGTCATGGAAGTCTGTTTTCAGCATTTGGAAGGCTTTCTTACAGCTCAGGGTGGTGGCTGGGATGAGGAGTGAGGTTAACGCAGGCATGTCCTTCCCCATCCTGCGGCCCTGTGGTGATCGCTCTGCACTTGCAGCGTCATCCTCTGCTGCCTGGCTCCATCCCGAGTGGGGGGTGTTACTCTCATGAGCTCATATTTGGGGTCAAGGGTGGTCTTTACAAGCAGAAAGCCCTGAGAAGTTCCCTCAAGCATCGCTGCAGCGGAAGAGGGCTGGGGCTGAGGGAAAGGTGGCTGGCCCCCATCCCTGCCTCGAGTGGGTCAGGTCTCTGCTGCCAGGGGATCTGGCCTGAGGCTCTACCGCTGGGTCTGGGAATCAGTGTGTTCAGCCTTTACTGTGATGCCTATGCTGGTTTTTGGGGGCGGGTGTGGGAAATTTGTCAGTTCTTTTCTTTTTCTCCACATTGTCAGATCAGAAGAGCTTTCACACCTGCAAACCTTTCACAAAAGGACAGTTTTTAATCAATAAACTTAGCCATCTCTCCTCTCCAAAATACTTTTTGGTCGAGGAATTTCCTGCCTGCTGTAGTTTCATTGAAAGGGCTTTAAAAGGCTTGATGTCAGCGTGAGCCCTTACTCGTCGAGTCTGCGGTCAGGCAGCCCGTCTGCCGAAACTGGAGAATCAGGTGGGAAACTGTCTTGTTACCCACTGGAGCTAATCGATTAATTAGCAGGGGATGAAGTGCACCAAACAATCTGTTATGCCAGATGGATACTTCAGTGTTAATTCATGTTCTCAAAATAACTGGACATAGATATGCTCGGCACTGTGGCCTAGATCCTGCTTTTGTTGCATTCAGCGGTGAAAATGTTGGCTTTAGTAATCCAAGTGCATATTTCTTCAGGAAAAATGTATTTTGGCATCAAACGGTAACAGTAAAAATCAAATGATTAAAAGCTGTCCAGAGCAATGGACTTTACCTTCTTAAAGAGGCATACATTAGTGCAAAAACTGAAGTTTTGCTTTTGTCTCCCTAGAGCATTCCTATTATCTGAATGCCAAGAAATGAGTAATTTGGGTTTTCTTTTTGCTTTTTTGTTCTTTTAAATAACTTTTGATGTGTTTCCCTAAGGAAGTCTGAACTAAAGCATAGTGCTGGAAAAGTTAAGATGTACGTTGCTTTCTCTTTGAAGGCACCATGAAGGAGACCAAAAGAAAAAAGCAATTAAGTTAAAAAAGTCATGGTGGTGGCTTATTCTGCCACACTTATTTTTAAATGAAGGAGGCTTGCTGCAAATTTCCTTCCATATTTTTCTTCCATTCTTTCTTTTGTATTTTTTTTCCCTCCAGCTTTTCATAGCCAAAAGTTGGTGTGCCAAACATTCATTTCTTATGAACTGACTGTTGGAGAACCGCAGAAATCACTGACAATCTGTGGTCAGACTTCAGTGGGAAACTGGAGGCTTTTACTGCTCGCTGGAGGAAGAACGTGGCCCAACACCTCTGTGACACTGGGAATGACTGCAAGTTAGAGTTTAGAGGAGCTCTGTGTCGTATCAATAGTTCATCCATGTTTTGTAAAAGCCAGTAGATTTGTTCTGTCACGCTTGTGCAAGGAGCCAGATATCTACTTAGGGTATTATTTGTAAAGCTGGAGAAAAGACAGGCCCTGGAGGAGGGAAGAAATTTGGGGTTTTTCTGTTTGTTTGTTGTTTTTTTTTTTTTAATTGAAATTCAAAATATTGGTGATGCATCTTACCAGTTTTTGACACTGAAAAAAAATCTCTATCATGACCTTTACCTGTGTCCAG